GAGCCACTTTAGCTGTTTCAAGGTATCGTAGGGATAGTATGGTTTTTGAAAACTGTAGCGTGGCTGCCATAACCCCGCACAATAGCCAATACGACGGGGTTTCTAATTGCGCATCAAGCGCTCAATGCACTTCTCCGCAGCGGTGCGAGGGACCTAGCTTGCCATCAACGACAGGTTCCGCACCATTTCAAAGTTTCTCCATATATTCCCGTAGACCGCCGCGTGATACCGCCAGCGACCACTGAGCTCTTTCCCCCTCAGATTTGCGGCCAGTTCAGCTTGAAGTTGGATCGCAACTGCTCCTTACTCCGTGTCGGCCATTTCGACAGCTGAAATTCAACAATCAGGCTTGCCAAAATATGCCGACTGTGCGGACATCGTATACCGCAGTTCTTGAATACCAGGACAAGCACAGCTTCGAGAAATCAAAATTCCTTCCCTTGGATGGTGAGGAAAAACAGCGGATAATCAGAAAGAACAGTCAAGGTGTAGACCTATTTCTGTCGTCATTTAAATCAAATTTATCCGTGAGTGAAAGACTCACTCTCTCCCGTAATAAGGTTCACTCGCGGAGATGGGAGTCCCATACATCCTCTGCATTTAATTCTGAAGAATGCGGGGGCCCGATGTGCTGTACGCCCTTGTCTTTATCCCTCGTTCTGACCTTTGTGATGGCTCACTCGTTCCTCGCCGTACGAGTGAAACAGCCGCACGAGTCTTTCGTCTTCGAGATCAGACAAATCAGAGTTTCAATGATTCAATAGCAGTCAATCTGTTCGTGGAACCCAGTCGCCTTGCAACCGTGTTGGCCTCCCTCTGTCCCTATACCGGAGGCTCCCGAGTCGACGCTGTGCCGCAAGGGTTCACATGTTTGATGTTTTGATCATTCACAGGATGAGACCTCCGCTTCGCTCCCACAGGTCAGAGTCTGGGTGGGGTAGGGTTCCCTCTGAGTCGAAAAATGTGGTCGGATTGATAAATAGTGTACATTCGAGTGCGATTCGCAGAGCATCAACATAATAACAGCAATGTAAATGGATACACATAGGCAGGGAAAGGCAACAAAGAAACTGTGGCATTCCCGACTGTCGGAAAAACCCAATTTGCCTGATCAGCGCTGGCCGTCTCATCAGAGCTGGTCAGGCTCAGCTGCCCAACTCATCAGGCAGCATCAGGACTGATCAGGCTCGGTCAGATCCCCCTCCGCGAGACTCCTTATTGTACCAATTAGCCTTTCTGCCCTCAATCCTGCATCCTATACATGTCATTTTCTGCACAGAAAGAATTTCGGAGTGGCCCCAAGAACTCAGTTGGCAAGTCCTGGAAGCTGAACCCGGTGGCTCAAGCAAGTTACATAACTCAGCTCATGTCCTTCCATTGTGAACCACAATAATAACTTTAAAATCTCAACCTTAGTTCGAGAACTTCGTTTAGATAGTTAAATAATAATGATGTAGTTCATGTCTTAGTAGTGGTAGTATATCGACTTGTAGTGGGTTGGTTACAATGGTATGCGCCCTCAAATAAGAGGGTAAGAAGTTTTGTTATTCCCGCTGGTGGACCCTGATCATGGCTGACCGGAACTGATATGTTGATCAGGCTCCGTCAGGCTGATCAGTGCCTACTGACGGTTATTTAGAATTATTGAGCATGTTCAGCCCCCCAAAATCCTGATGGCCTGATCAGCCACACTCAGTACAGATACTTCCTTGTCACCGAATTTCGGTTTTTCCGACACGGCAGCCTCGTCTATGGAGCCAGTTTCACTGGTTGGGAGATTCAAGTTTTTCAGCACAATTTATGGTGAAAAATGTTGTTTGTTTTTCAGACATTTTTCACCGAAAAAGTGGGTGAAAAACTCAAATCATTTTCACTATTTTTCTTAGCTCAGGGTGAAAAATTCAAAAGAAGGGCAAAAAGTGGTGAAAAATGTTTGAATTTTCCACCTACTTTTTCAGTAAAAAATGTCTGAAAAACAAACAACATTTTTCAGCGTAAATTGTAGTGAAAAACTTGAATCCCCCAACCAGTGTTTATTCTGAATCCACTGAACAAAGGTTCCTCTCTGACATCTGATATTTGCCTACAAGTTCAAGGTCCTGGCAGAGGTACCAGGGGTGCCCAGAGGGCCTTGATGATCAGCATTGCCTCGGATGCCCTGGAAAAGCTATCCAGAACTTGAGTAGTGTTAATCAATTTAATGGTGTGTCTTGCTTTGTGCACCATAACCAAATCACGGTACTCAACGAGAGTAACAACACATCAAATATGTTTGGATCATATCCTTTTATGGCACTCATTTCATGTTCAGCAAGCTCAATTCTTGCACAAAGTTACCGGGAGCTGTGTAAAACAACTCGATATAATTAGGTCTTAGAATAAATGTTTGTATTCAATGCTGAAGGCATACAATAAACTTTGGATGGTATACTCAATTCAATTTCACCCATGGCATCTTACAAAACACACTTTCAGTCAATCTCGAGCAATCAAATGCCTCATTTTCGATTCTAATCCGTGACTTTCCGTACGGTGTTATATGTATTATGTGTGGAATAAATTCATGTTCTTACTGTTTATTTTACATTCTCGTGAGTCGCTCACACAGAATTCACCTGCCAGAACAGGGTTGAGGATTATCTTGTAACTAGTCAACATCATCAGGCACAGGTTCCAGAGTTGTAGGGTGCAGTCAATCAAGAATCAATAGAATGACAGGCCTTGATGGCATCAGCGATGACATCAATTGGGCTGACTGTGACCCCTTTTGATGTTCTCCCAGGGTAGAGTATAGAATGGCCAGGTTACCCATATTAAGCAGTGTGACTGGATGATTCTCACCCAGAACCTGTTTTTGTTTCTCCAGCACTATGGCCAGGAGTTCTTGGGCTTTTGGATACTCTCCCAGGTCTGAGTATGAGCTGGCCAGGTTACATGGTATGCAGGGTGTCAGGATGATTCTCACCCAGAACCTGTTTCCGTTTCTCCAGCACGATAACGTGGAGTTCTTTGGCCCTTTGATGTTCTTCCAGGTCTGAGTATAAGATGGCTAGGTTACCCATGCTAAGCAGGGTGTCTGGATGATTCTCACCCAGAACTTGTTTCTGTTTCTCCAGCACAATGGCCAGGAGTCCTTGGGCCTTTTGATACTCTCCCAGGCCCAAGTACGAGATGGCTAAACTACTCATGGTACGCAGGGTGTTTGGATGATTCTCACCCAGAACCTGTTTCCATTTCTCCAGTACAAGAATCCCGAGTTCTTTGGCCTTTTGATGTTTGCTCAGCTCCAAGTATGAGCTGGCTAGGTTACCCATGGCATGGAGAGTGTCTGGATGATCCTCACCCAAAACCTGTCTCTGTTTCTCCCACACAGTACTGTAGAGTTCCTTGGCCTTTTGATGCTCTCCCAGGCCTGAGTACGAGATGGCCAAACTCCCCATGGTATGCAGGGTGTCTGGATGATTCTCACCCCAAACCTGTTTCTGTTTCTCTAGCACAAGAATCCCAAGTTCTTTGGCCTCTTGATATTTGCTCAGGTCTGAGTAGGAGCTGGCCAGGTTACCCATGCTAAGCAAGGTGTCTGGATGATTCTCACCCAGAACTTGTTTCTGTTTCTCCAGCACAATGGCCAGGAGTTCTTGGGTTTTTTGATACTCTCCCAGGCCTGAGTATGAGACAGCCAAACTACACATGATATGCAGGGTGTCTGGATGATTCTCACCCCGAACTTGTTTCCATTTCTTCAGCACAATGACATCGAGTTCTTTGGCCTTTTGATGTTCGCCCAGCTTGGAGTGTGAGCGGGCCAGGTTACCCATAGTATGGAGAGTGTCTGGATGATCCTCACCCAAAACCTGTCTCTGTTTCTCCAACACAGTCCCATAGAGTTCCTTGGCCTTTTGATACTCTCCCAGGCCCGAGTATGAGATGGCCAAACTACGCATGGTATGCAGGGTCTCTGGATGATTCTCACCCCGAACCTGTTTCCGTTTCTGCAGCACAAGAATCCCGAGTTCTTTGGCCTTTTGGTATTCACTCAGGTCTGAATATGAGCTGGCCAGGTTACCCATGCTAAGCAGGGTGTCTGGATGATTCTCGCCCAGAACCTGTCTCTGTTTCTCCAGCACAATGGCCTGGAGTTCTTGGGCCTTTTGATGCTCTCCCAGGCCCGAGTATGAGACAGCCAAACTGCCCATGGTACGCAGGGTGTCTGGATGACTCTTGCCCAGAACTTGTTCCCGTTTCTCCAGCACAATAACTTCGAGTTCTTTGGCCCTTTGATACTCTCCGAGGTGTGAGTATAAGCTGGCCAGGTTACCAATCCTAAACAGTGTTTTTGGATGATCATCACCTAGCAGCTGTTGTTGTTTCTCCAGCACTTCTTCCTGTAGCTTCACCGCTTGTTTGTATCTTCCCCCTTCCCAAAATGTTGTTACATATTGATCACTGAAAACTAGAGCTATTTCCACATCCATTTTTACAGCCAATTCGATATGTGGACACAGTAGCAGACTTGCCAATTGCATATCCCACTGAGGCCGTTCTGAAATGGCCATGCCAAGTATGGACCCCATGGTGGACATGTATCCTTTTGGGTTTTGAACTGTCCCTCGACTCCAAAAATGTACCAATGGATGAATTGAAAACACCTTCTTCTCTGCATCAAAGCTGATCAATGAATAGGATTGGACCTCATTGGTAGCATTCAAAAACTGCAAAGAGTCCCATTCTCCAGTTGGCCCCAGAAAATGTGAGAGGAACTCTAGAGGCTCCCATAGTTCTTCTTTGGATGGGCCATCAGAAGCACACTGGTATTGTGATGCATAACGAAAGATTTCCTCTGAAATCCCATTGTAATGGAGGTATGAACAATGCTGCAAGAACATGGCAGCCGGCGGTGTGAGCCGGTGTGAGCGGGGCAGTTGTTGTGCCCCCCATTCATAATGCCTAATCAAGAGCCTCGGATCAGATAATGCGGCTTGATTGTGATGTCTGAGAATGGCCACTTAGTCTAGTGGTAAGGACACCTGCACATGAATTCAGGAGGCCCGGGTTCGAATCCCGGAGCAGCCATTCTTTTCCCTCGAACTGAGGACCAAACTCAAATCATGCTTACACCGGTCAAAACTAATTTGCCATGTTGTGTATACTGTCCAGGCATATTGATCATGAGATTGAGCGGGCTTTTCCCCCAGCAGTCGTGCTTGATGTTTCATATAAAGAGGCAGATAGCCATTCAGATCTTGAGATTTGGATATGAATGCACCAGCCTGAACAATTGCCAGTGGTAGATAGTGCAACAACTAAAAGAGGGGGTTAAAAATTAGATGAGTTGCCAGGGCCAATTGCCTCACCTTCACCATTTCTGCTGCAATTTGTTCAGTATGGTTTGTGGCCTCCTGCAATGCACTCTTTAGCAACAATGCCACTGCATCTTCCTCTTTCATGTTCAACACAAGGGAGTTAGATCCTGCATAAACACGCAGTCCTGGATTCCGGGAGGTGATGATGATATTCCCATGATTGCACTGAGGGATAAAATCATTCAGATTGATGCTTGGATCGTCTGCATTATCAAATAAAAGGAGCCATTCTTCAACTTTGCTGGTCAGCCATAGTAATCCATCTTGTGGAGAATCTCCAAAATCTTTCAGCACAGCTATATTCTTGAAACCTGTATCAATTGTCGTGATAGTGCTGGCATCAATGAGAAAGAGTCTGAGAAGCTGACATACAACTGAATCAATGGCTACCTCCCCTTTGGATGATTAAGCTCACCGAGATGATGACTCCTCTATGAATTTCAGAGCAATTTGTGTTTTTCCGGCACCACCGAGTCCATGTAGCACATAAGTGTGTTGGATCCCAGTGTCAGAGAAAAAGTGATGCACTTTGTTGAGGATCTCCTGTCTGCCACAGAAAATCCTTGATGGAAGAGAACAATGGCTAGCAATTTGAGCTGCTCGGAGGTTCCGAAGTTGTGATGCCTGGTCTGCAGTAACTGTGGCTTGCAAATTGTGTGCAATTACAGCTCTTTGCATAAGTAATGGCACTACCCCTATTTTTAGAAGAAAGAGCATTTTGAAGCCTACCGGGGTTTTGGCTCATTCCTCCCTCGTTTCTCAATGGATCAACTTGGTTCTGGGTGCATTAGAGAGCGGGTAAGCGGGGCTTTCAATTACCTTAGGCCTCACCCTCTAAGTCAAAGTTTCAGTTGTGCCAAAAATCAGCCTTAGTGGTGCCAATCCCAAATTGCAAACTCCAATACTCCCTCATTTTCCAACCGATTTGCATCAAAATGGGTTCATACTAAAGGGGGAAGCTGAGCCAAGGTTTCGTGGACAAAACATAATGGCTTGTGCCAAGCACAACCGAGGTTCCCACGCCTTTCGGAATTTTCCGTTTCACAGGATCTAACCCAGGTGCCGCGTAGACCTCACACAATCTGCACTATCTAGGACGATTGACTCCATTTATAGACTCCACCACCGCTGGAATTGAGTAAATTGAATGAAAAACCATGGAGTTATTCAATTAACAAGTTGTGGGTGAATCGAAAGAGGTGAATTTGAGGGCCACCAGCTCCGGTGAGTTAGAACTGGAGATGGACATGGATTCAAAGCCCTGCTTACCCGCTCTCTAATGCACCCAGAACCAAGTTGATCCGTTGAGAGATGAGGGAGGAATGAGCTAAAAACCCGGTAGGGTTCAAAATGCTCTTTCTTCTAAAAATAGGGGTAGTGCCATTACTTATGCAAAGAGCTGTAATTGCACACAATTTGCAAGCCTCCCAAGGACTTGGAGAAAAAATGAGGTTGGATGGTCAATGTCTGGTGCACAGGGGTATATCACGCAACAGATGGTAAACCTCGATGGGAATCAACCACGGAAGGATAAAGAAAGTGTTCAAGTCTCAGTGTTGAACATTATAAATTATTACAGTGTTATTATTCATCCTTCCGCTTTGCATAGGTGGCTATTTCTCAGAGCTTCAATGCAAACATTTATGTCCAGACAGAATGAATGAATGAGTTTGGTGCTCCCTTTAATTAAGGTTTCACAACATGTCAGCAAAGACCCAACAAAGCTGGTGAAGGTAAGGATGAGATGATACTGAAGGGAAGAGGAACAGCAGAAGTGACATAACTTCACAACTAAATCGGATTAAAGTCACACGGTCACCCTGCTATATATTTTGTGGGCGGCCTAGTGAGTGGTGTTTCTGCTGTGTATTTCGTGTGCAGCCTATCAAGAATTTAATGAAGGTGGAGAAGACCTGTAGCGTTGGTACGCACCCGCTCTCATTAATCATCTTCCACTTGCGTGTTACAGTGGGCTACCCGTTCGATTCGAGCGTGGGTCATACGGAATTGGGAATTTGTTTTCTGCCTTGGTTCCTTCTTTACTTTTTTTTTGCGTGTCGTCCCCGGCCCTTCTCCTCGCACGTTTCATTGAAATCTTATATGCATCCCAGAGATCGAGGATTGTGTTCCTGGCTTTGTGTAATTCACGCTCTTAGTGTACTTGTCTTTGACGTGTTTTCACCATGTTGTTGCGTCGGAAATTTGTACCTGGCTACAATAGGACTACCAGTGATCGGCGTGCCCACCCTCATTGAGACTTCGGATAAGCCGGTATGTCAATGCCTCAAATCCATGGTTAAATAGGAGATTCCAACTTGAATGGACACCCATTCTTAATTGGTCGAACCAATCACGCGTCACTCCCCCTATCGATTTCAATGTAATGATACAGTACTCGTTCCATTAGATTTTTCATTTATACTTTGAACCTATCCTTAGCGTGAATTAAACTGAGAGCGAATTGAAGCTTTTATTGGTGACTTGTAGGTGAATTGAGGACAATGGACGAAGGAGGTAAATTATACTACGTCCTCTCGACCGCAAGGAGAAGATTTGCGTTTCCTGATTGCGTCAAGGGAAACCACCCATCGAGAAAAATAAAAATAAAGCAGCGCGCTGCGGAGCGGAAGGTCTATACACCTCCCGCATGACACCCGCAAATCTTTACGAACGACAACGTCGGCGCCTCCATCTCGGACATCGTCCTACACAAAGTTCCATCGGCAAGTTTCGCGTCGTGCCACCTTTCCCTGCCCTCCCTCCCCTCCAACAGAACACGAAAAGAGCCACACACCTTCGGCAGCTTCCTCTTAAACACGTCAATCTTGTTCAGGAACAATATCACGCTCGTGCTGAGGAACCAGCGCGAGTTGATGACGGATTCGAAGAGGTAAAGGGATTCGTGCATGCGGTTCTATGGAGGAGCACATGTCAGTAAGAGATAAGAGTATATGTGGGGGCGAGGATAGGAGGCAAAGAGGAGCATCGCATGACCGCGGACGCCGAGAAGAGCGGTGTCCGTTGACTGGAAGCACTCTAGCAGACGGCGCGCAGGGACCACGAGCCGGTAGGGACCACAAGCCACGGCGACTACTATACAGGGCCAGGAGATCCGCTAGCGCTCTTCTGCAAGGCACCAACATCGAGACCGCACCCCAGTACATGATGCGCGCGCGACACAAGCTCGCCCTCGAGAAACCGTACACCATCGCCGCTCATGCACGCATGCACCGCACCGACCTGTAGAATCCGCCGCCAACGTTAAATGTCCATTGGCTCGTAGTATCCACTACATGCCGGCGGTTCGTATCCGCGCAGGTCCCGCACATCGCGACTACCCTCTCGTCGCGACAGATCCCGGGACGAGCTTCTGCGTGGCTTGACTAACGATGGTGGTCGACGTTACCCGAAGGAACACCAACCAGTTCTCAAGCAGTGGACGCACAATGAAATGAGGGAGTGAAAGGGAAACTAAAACTATGAAGGAGACGTACCACCCGCCTTTCCTCCTCGAGCACTTGGTCGTACTCGCTCAGCGCCGTGCAGAAGATGATGCTTGTCACACTGTAAATAGAATCAAGTCAGTGGGATATTCACGTGTGGTAGCAGGAGTATGGAAGGCAAAGGATGAAGAAAGAAGGACAAGGAAGGATGAAGAAAGAAAGATAAGGGAGGATGAAAGGAGGGAAAGCCGGACGCCACCGAAAGCAAAAGTGGAGACCTTCCGGAAAAGGAAACCTCCGCTTTCAATACCAATCCGGCTGCGACGAGCGGGTGCGGGGGGTAGGGCGGGGCAGAGTAATGAGGAGATCTAGATTCGAGAGAAGCGCTCCCACCCAAAGTCAGTCGGTTGGCCGAGGCACAGGCAGGAGAGTCTTGTCTCGACGCACAGGCCGTTACCGCCTCCCGCGTCCCATAAACAGAGGGTGGCCGAAGGACAAGCTACGTCCCGCCTCGACATTCGCGTACGCAGCCACTACCAGCAAGCATGGAAGCTTCACCGCCCGGCGGACAAAACACATCCGCCGAAAAGCTCATCGTCTTCAAGAACATCCCCGTGCCTCTCCACATTCATCCAGCTGCTGCTATGTCCCTTTGCTCATCCGCCTCCAAGGAGGTTTTATCTTTGTCTCCGCGTGGAAGATGAATCTCCCACGTAAATCCGCTGGCGCGTGCGAGGAGCTACGTACGCCGTACCCCGTCGACGTCCGCGGGGGGGGTATAGTCTCGCACCTGAAGACAGCGCGGCTAGTGGAGATGACTGCCGCATCCACCACGGCAAAACGCACGATTCCCGCCGTGCACAAAACACAAGGCTCCTCCGCGCTAATTGAGCACACACACCGCGACCCTATCAAGCCGCGGTCCCCATCGTCAAAAGCCAAGCAGCCCTCCCTCCCTCTACACCTCCAGCCGGCCCAAGCACACGCGCTGCACCGAGCACGAAGTCTACCCCGAGTCAGTGCACACCTTGGCGCTCTGCACGCCGAGCACGACCAGCGCCAGGAGTACGACCCCATCGCCCGTCCCCGTCAGCGCGCCCAGTCCGCTTACGACCACAACACCGACCCCGACCAGCACCACTACGGGAGAAACGCGGGGGACGTACTCCGTGCGAATTCGACCCCGTCCTCATCCGCGTGCTCGTCGTACCACTGAAGCGCGCAAACGCGGTACCAGGGCGGGCGAACACGCGCGCCAACAGGTATCCGACGACGAAGAACTGCTACAAGGCCACATTCGTACGCGGGGGACGTACTCCGTGCGGATTCGACCCCGTCCTCATCCGCGTGCTCTTCGTACCTCTGAAGCGCGCAAACGCGGTACCAGGGCGCGGGCGAACATGCGCGCCAACAGGTATACGACGACGAAGAACTGCTACAGGGCCACATTCGTTCGCGCGAAACGTACGCAAGGCTTCCTCCATCGAAGCTTTGCACCTCGTCCCGCTCGGAGGAACGCCCTCATCGCCGTCCTCGTCCACGGCCGCAGAATAAAAAAACCGCAAGGTCGGTGGCCAAAGGCAAAACGCGAAAACGCACCTCTCAAAACAACGTATCCACTTCTTCCGCTCGCTCCGTTGGCGGCTGACGTCGGACATGTGGATCCTTGGGAGATACCAAGGTCAGCGGCGGTGATTTAATGCAAGGGCAAAGAAGAGAAGAGGGAGGGGAGAGGAAGAGAGAAGGATGGGTCAAACAACAAGCTGCGCATGACCGATCGAGGCGACGTGGTTAATGGTTAATGTCCACGATCCCGACATGGCGGAAATACAAGTGCTTCCGTTACCCCACCAAGAGGGCGGCGCCACGCACACAACGACGCCCATTCGCGCGCCGTCCGCACAACTATATCGCAAAACACACGGCGTCGTCCGCACGTGTCCGTGCCGTCTGCAACGCGAAAGGCGGCCTGCAAACCCGCGAACGAGAACGCGCAGGCTGGGCGGGCGATACAGCAACGCGAGCCCCGAGCCCCAAGCACCACCACCTGCGCCCCCATCATCGGCGCAAAGCAAAACGCGTCACCGCACACGCCCCATTCGCGCTCAAGAGCCATCCCCGTCGCGCTCGCGACACCCCACCCTGCGCGGGACGAGGAGAAAGCCACGCCACACGTCTCGAGTCAGCACTCGGGTTATTTGCGCGCGTCCAACGTCGCGCGCCACCCGCGCCATCGATGCATACACATCCACATGCAGCTCCATTGCCCAAAAGGCTCGCACCACGACCACGCTCCCCTCCCTCTCCCTTTGCCCTCGGGTCTCCAGCCAGCACAGCGCTGCTCGTCATCTCGCCCTCACGCCCACCGCCCCCTCGTCAGCGCGCACGGAATGGGCGGGATGAGTGAGACAGACGCCCCACCACCGCGTGAAAGTTGCGATACTCCTCCCTCTCTTCCCCACTCCCCGACTCTCAAGTAAAAGCAAAAAAACCGCCCAAAAGTATCGCCCAAAAAGTGAAGTCAAGTGGAAATACGCACATCAAATCTCCATGCAAAACCGCGTCTCGATAATCGCGGTACTGCGGGGTCGCGTGCGGACGACGTCTCCTCGGAGGGGACGTGTGGGGGAGGCGATGCGGTGGATTTGGGAGAAGAAACTGTGAAGGGTGGTTAGTGCCGAGTTAATATAATTCGCGGAGGGTGGGATTGATAAGAGGGAGAAATATGTGGGCGAGGAAGATGAGGGAAGAAAGGAAAGGTCGAGGGTAGGAAGGGGGAGGAGGGAAGGAAAGAACGGAAGGGAGGTGGCTACGGCAACGCGCGCGCACCCGCACCCGCACCGCACCCACCGCGTGAAACTCGTACGAGCTGTGCGAAGGTGCCGCCTCGAGCCGAGAACACCAACGCGCGCGCGCGTGACCCAAGGAGGCCGCAAGCGGTGGCGCATACGTCCGTGCGCGTCTCGAGGCGCGGGATCGGGCGTACACGCCGTTCGGGGGTACACAGCAGACGGGCGGTGCGGGCAAGGCGCGCAAGAAGAAGTGAAGGGAAGGGGGAAGGCGAGGTGAAGCGCGATGGAGGGAAGACGCGAAGATGGGAGAAGGGTGAACGGGGTAGTGTAGGTACAGCCGCTGCCGCCAATACAATGCACGGCCACTCGACGCGACGCGCCCTGGTGCGCCGAAGGATGCCGATCGGGAGTATTGGGTCAGGAAGGGGAGGGGAGAACGCGGAGGGGGGGGAGGGGAACACGAGAGAGGTTGGAGGTTTGGATGCATGAGAAAGGGAAGGAGGATGGATGGATGGGTAGAATTTAGGAATGAACGACGGAAGGGAAGGCGCGTGCAGCCGGTAGAAAGGTAAAACAAACCGCACTCGCTATGCACTATCCATCAAATATAAGGCGGGGGAGAGGAACGCAAGCAGGTGAGGGAAGCATGGAGGAATGAATGCGGGAGAACGGGAGGGCGAATGCGCGGCCGCGGGCCACGACTGCACGAACTGCATCATGCATGCATGAAGACGGCTACGCTATCGTGCAATGCACGGCCACTCGATGCGACGCGACGCGACTCGCCGAAGGAGAAGACGTACTGCCAACGATGCCGGTGGGGAGTATTGCGCCAGGAAGGGGAGGGGAGAACGCGGAGAGGGAAAATGGAAGGGAACGCGAGAGAGGACAGAGGACAGGAAGGAAAGGTTTAGGAAAGAGGGAAGGTGGATGGATGGATGGGTAGAAATGCGAGAAGAATAACCGCTGGAATAAACGGTGTCGGAAACACGGTTTGAATCCCACACACACCGCGGGTGTAGTCAATACAATAAGAAAGAGGAGTCGGGCGTGTCGAGCGTGTACAAGGCGGGGTGGAACGAGTTGAGCCGCACGTGAAGGGGACATGGGTCCACGGCGGTCCGAGCTGGCGGCGTTCGTGTAGGCCTCGGCGCTGCAGATAAACGTGTATGGGAAGGCGTGTCGAATTGATCTGCGCGTTGGCACACGTGGCGCATCACGGAGTTAGCGGGCCGTGAGAATAGGGGCGGCTTGTTTGGTGAGTCTTTGTTCCGATGTCGTTGTGTCGCCCTCTCCTCCTCAATTCAGCTGAGTTGAGCAGAAATTCAAGGTGCGGATTAGGATCCCCGCACGCCGAGGCCCAAAAGCCCGATCCGCGCGCACATGTGCGCCATCGAGTTACGAAGGACGAAGGCAGCGCACCCTTGGTGTAGCGGTAACACATCTCACTCGAATGAACCGAGAGGCCTCGGGTTCGACTCCCGGAGGGCGCCTAGACGAGGTTGAAACTCTCTTTGTGCTTTTTGCTTGAGTACTTGTACTCTCTCCGGCTGCAACGTTGGGAGGCAAACTACGCCGCGCTCTTGGTATAACGGTAACACATGCTCACTAACTACTTTCGAGCGGTACCGGGTTCGCCTCCCGGAGGGCGCCTCCACGGTCACAAATTCTTTTGGTCCATTTTTTTTAACTGATGTTGGCAGCAAAATTTTGTCGCGCTCTTGGTGTAACGGTAACACATGCTCACTTTCATTTGAACAACCAAGGGGTCCCAGGTTCGACTCTCGGACAGCGCCTAGGTATCTTCCACCTCCTTTTTGTTTGGTTGTCAAACCATAATCCTTTTCTTCAGCGGCCATATGTTGGGTGAAGCATTCATCGCGCTCTTGGTGTAACAGGAACACTTCTCATTCTAAGCAACTTCCGAACTTGAGAGACCCCGGAGGGCGCCTCGGTCCTCATAAAACTGTTTATAACTTTTTGTGCCATTTTCTTTCTTTCTCCTTTCTTCTGACTGTTTTTGTTTTCAAACTCACGGTGCGTGACATATGATCTTCTTCTTCTTCAACCACACCTCGCGTCCTCCATTTGTTGGGCAATTTGCTGTAGTGCTCTGGGTGTAACGGTAACACACCCTCACTACTCATTTGAATTTCGAGGGGTTCCGGGTTCGACTCCCGGAGAGCGCCTGTTTGCGTTAAAAAGGTGCCCCCCCCGGGAGTTAAACCCAAGCGGGCATCAAACCCCGGAGGGTGCCTTTACAGCCCAACCACTTTTTCACCCTCCATTCCCTGACAAACGAACCTATGTTTTTCCACTGACTGTTTCTCCCTGCTTGCTTTTGCAACAACTAGCACTTGCTTTTCCAACAACTAGAGGTACACATGCAAGCCAGCAGCAGGTCTCATCCACATGTTGTCGGAGTGGTGAATATTGTGCTCTTGGTGTAATAGTAATACTTCTCATTCTAACTTATGTATTGACTTGAGAGACCCCGGCACGTAGGTTCTCTTAGAACTGTTTTGGTTGCATTTTCTTACTTCTCACAGTAACCACGCATGTTGGCGGCCCATTGTGCCGTGCTCTTGGTGTAACAGTAACACACCCTCACTACTCATTTGAATTTTGAGGAGTCCTGGGTTTGACTCCCGGCGGGCGCCTACACCATCACAATGCAAATTTTTATGCTACTCTTCCTGGGTTGGTAGCTACAGCTCTCAGCTAGACAGAGGTGCATGCATACGTAGCCCCTCCTTCCTGCATGACATTCACAGCAGAAAAAAATTCTTCTCCCTCTTGAAAAGCAAAATCTCAAATAAAGAGGTAGGGTTTCAGGCTATACATACATGGGGCTAGTATTATGGATTTTAGGACCTAATGTAGTGAGTGTCTGGTGTTATTTTGCAAAGCAAGCTTAAGGCTGATAAGGTTGACACTTAACGTACACCAATAGAGAGAAAGTAAATTACCACCCGGCATAATTAGGTTTGCATCCATTTTCTGCTTTGCTACCGAATTGATAGCGAATTGATAGGCATTGTTTTTTGCCTGCACTATCGCAAAGCAGATTTTGTTACTCTACATACTTTGTTGTTTAGGTGAAGTGAATTTATTTTCGTTCATGACTGGCCTCAGAGAGGTTTACTTGGACTCCGAACACACCACGGAATGTGCGGGTTTTTGTTGCGCCAATAGATGTTGGGAGGATATATGTATCAGTTGAACCTTGTTCTTTTCGCCATGTGACCAGTATTCTAAACCAAGTTTACGAGATAATTTAATCGTTTGTCAAACCAGATGCGTCCAAACCCATCCAATGCAATGGCACTTTGTAAGTACAGTATATTTCTTTCAATCTTCCAATCAATTTAATGTCCAACTCATCACTCATCTCTATGGTCCAGGTCCAGTAATGATGTGTTAAATTTGTGACCTGCACCCTTGTTTGTGTAAATTGTGCATTAGAGTGCTGATGAACATTCAAGTGTACATCAGATTTACAACCGTGGGAATACTGGCTCGCCTCCGCTCTTTATGTTGAGAAGATCGCACTGAAAGTGAATTGAATTGTGTTCACTGAATTGTGAGGCTAAAGGTACAGCTTATATACTGTGAAGAATAGTGTCTAGAATGACCTACAAGCAGAGAATAGAGAGTGGCTGAGTAATAACTGAGTAAGTACAATCGGGGAAAGTCGGCGGTTGGAAGACGTGGGAAAATACCAAATAACAACACTTCACTTCAAGCTAAAAATGAGAATGATTGTCTTCAGGAGCTACCACTGAGAGCTGCAACTTGAGGATTAAATTATCCAGCTCCCGGGTGGAGCATGGCCCGAACATCCAACATCTCTGTGCAACTGTGGAGCAAAATTTTGGTACCCCATTCCCACAGGCATCACTTTGACGCTGCTGGACAAACCATGTCTTTAAAAACAAGAAATCTGTGAGTTCTCTGACAGCCACAAACTCGAAACAGCTGAACAACTTTGTCAATGACGGTGCTAATTATATCAAACGGAAGGGAAGCTGTCAAGAAGCGGTGCGGAAGCTGTGCAGTCAAGTGACCCATGAATTGACAACAAAACAAAACAACGTGGCAATAGCGTGTCCTCGCTGTCGCATCTTGTCTTCTCCCACCATGGCAGAGGTACTAGGGATTGTTGAGGCCACACTCGGTCTTCTGGGTACTGCACTAAAGGTCAAAGACTTCATCCAGGATGCACACAAAGCACCACAGGAGCAGAAGAAACTACTGTCAGAGATGGAGGATCTCAAACCACTTCTGGAGGAACTCCGCCGCCGCATCATGGCCAATCCATCAGCGGGTGTTTTTCAGCAGATGGCAGGTCCATTGACCAGCTTTTGCAAGGATGTGGAACACCTTACTGAAAGGTTGCAACCGGGAAAAGGCTCAATCGGCAAACTCGGAAAAAGAGTGGCATGGGCAGTAAGCAACAAAAAGAAGACAAATGAAGATGTCAGAAAGCTGGAGCAAGTCAAAAGCTTGATTAATTCTTGGTTGATACTGGACTTCTGGTATGTTATGTTGATGCTTTTGCGAGGTTTCCTCTGATTTTATGGCTCCCAGGGATCAAATGGATGGTAATGATCAGAATCTTTTCTTCATTCAGATGCTGAACACTTCTCAGCTGCAAAAAAGGATGCAGTAATTGAATGGGTGTCCCCAATCAATTTCTTCATTCGACAACAGGATATTTCAAAAAGTCGACAACCAGGAACTGGTGAATGGCTGCTGAATCACCCTGAGTTCAAGCAGTGGAAATCAAGCACTAAAGGAGTTCTGTGGTGCTCTGGAATACGTATGTAACAACAGCATACTATTAGTCTCTCAGCTTGATAAATAATATGTCTAGCTGGTGCTGGGAAGACTGTGCTTGCGTGGGTCTCAATCCTACTTCCAGATCTCTGCTGATCTATATAATAATCATAGCTCTCTCATAGTAGACGATTTGAATGCCCTCCAAAGCAAGGATATTGGAGTAGCATGCATCTATTTCAACCACAAGGAGACTCAGGTCCAAACCCTGGACAATCTGCTTGCAGGACTCTGGAGACAGCTTATTCCAGACCAACCTATTGGTTCTGCATACCAGCTATATCAGGAACATGCTCAGAAGAAGACAAGGCCTTCATACAAGGATATTCAGAAACTCTTCTCCTATGCACTTCTCAGGTTCACACAGGTTTACATCATTCTTGACGGGGTTGATGAATACCCAGAGAATGAGTGGGGTATCCTAGCCACAGACTTGGCTGGCCTGGGGCCTACCATCAACCTGTTGGTCCTGTCAAGGCCCCACATTTCTCCAGCTCAGTGGCTTTCAAATCCTGTCACACTTGAGATATCGGCAAACCAGAGAGACATAGAGACATATGTGCAGGCACAAATCCAGATGTCTGGTCGTCTGTCTCAGTATGTTAAGAAGGAGACAGGGTTGAAGAAGGAAATTTGTTCAAAAATAGGTGATACTGTTGATGGAATGTAAGCGCCATATGGCATGTAACTGAAGGGATTATCTAACAAATCACACTGCCAGGTTCTTGCTTGCCAAGCTTCATGTTGATGTGTTGCGCACAGCAACCAATGTAAAGGAAGTTCGCCAAGCCTTGCAACATTTACCAAAGGATCTGGACCACATGTATAAGAATATCATGGACCGGATCAATGCCCTGCCCCAAAACGAACAGGAGCTTGCACAATCTGCACTTATCTGGGTTGTCAATGCAAAAAGACCTCTGACCGGTGCAGAGCTATGTGAAGCTCTCGCCATTGAGCCAGGAACAACAGGATTGAATCAAGACAATATCACTGATATCAGTGTCATTTTTTCTGTCTGTGCTGGCCTAGTAATACTCGAAGAACATAGTTCTTTGGTCCGACTTGTCCACTTTACTACCCAAAAATATCTGGATGAAATCCAGACTCAGGGGCTTCCAAACCCACATGTCAAAATCACACAGAGCTTGCTAACATATTTGCAATTTGAGCAATTTTCGGGCATAGAAGCCATTTCTTGGGATCCCCTGCCTCCACTTCTTGAATATTGCCAGTATTGTCTGGTACATGCTCAATTATGTGAAAAGGAGTTGAGAGATGTTATCATAGAGTTGTTGAAAAAGACCACCTTGAAGACATGGCAGCAGCATTGGTATGAATGGGGATGGCATTCTCCTCCATGGAACTTTGAATATTGGCCTAATGTGCCCTCTCCTTTGTGGATTGCAGCCTCGGTAAATATGGTGAAGATAGCAAGCTATTTCTTGGAATATGTTGAAGAACATGCTGATGCTGAGGTGCTAACTGTTGCGGCATATTATGGCTACTGGAATATATGCCAACTCCTCCTTAACAAAGGTGCTGATGTGAATGCTCAAGGAGGGGAATATGGAAATGCACTCCAGGCAGCAGCCTATGGAGGCCATTCTGAGGTTATTCAGCTTCTCCTTAACAAAGGTGCCAATGTGAATGCTCAGGGAGGGGAATATGGAAATGCACTCCAGGCAGCAGCCTATGGAGGCCATTCTGAGGTTATTCAGCTTCTCCTTAACAAAGGTGCCAATGTGAATGCTCAGGGAGGGGAATATGGAAATGCACTCCAGGCAGCAGCCTATGGAGGCCATTCTGAGGTTATTCAGCTTCTCCTTAACAAAGGTGCCAATGTGAATGCTCAGGGAGGGGAATATGGAAATGCACTCCATGCAGCAGCCTATAGAGGCCATTCTGAGGTTATTCAGCTTCTCCTTAACAAAGGTGCCAATGTGAATGCTCAGGGAGGGAAATATGGAAATTCTCTTCAGGCAGCAGCCTACAGAGGCCATTCCAATATTGTGGAGGTCCTTCTTGACACAGGTGCCGATGTGAATGCACAGGGAGGACCTTGTGAAAATGCGCTCCAGGCAGCAGCCCTCACAGGCAATTCTGAGGTTATCCAGCTCCTCATTGACAAAGGTGCTGATGTAAATGCACAGGGAGGGCATTTTGGAAATGCACTCCAGGCAGCAGCCGACAGAGGCCATTCCGAGATGGTACAGGTCCTTCTTGACAAAGGTGCTGATGTAAATGCACAGGAAGGGGAATATGGAAATGCACTCCAGGCAGCAGCCCTTGGAGGCCATTCCAAGATTGTACAGGTACTTCTGGACAAAGGTGCCAATGTGAATGCACA